TTTTGTGTGAAGGTGTCAAATTGATGTCCAGTAAGGTACCCAAAATTTGGCGGCGCTGCGCGCCGCCGTTTTCTCGCTATTTAAGAAAAACCACAGGGGGGCCAAAATGGCCCCCCCCCCATCAGGGCGCGGGTTATATCAACTGCACACATTTTCGCTTCAAAAGTCAATAGACTGTCGTTATCACAGCTGTGAATGCTTTTCGCTGGCATTGTTGATATATTTTCTAATGCTCGCGTGCTTTTAACACGCTCAAAACACGCTAATAAATTTAAAAGGTTTCCTAATTTTATCATTCATTCAGTTGCATGGGATCTTTTACCACGTCAACTACGTATAGGCATCCTGAACATTTTTTTTTTTACAATAGCATATTTTGCCGATCTCTCCTTCATCATCGCTCCTCTCAGCTGGCGTTGTCCAAGCCGTTTGCCGATGTCTTACGATGTTTCCCCATCTTGCCCCGTATACCAGATCTAGTGAAGTGTTCAACTTTTTTAGAAAAATCTCTAGATCAACGATCTCGTCCGTTTGCTCCCGTTCTTGCAATTTACGATGTTGAACGGTCGTAGTGGGAACGCGGCCTTACAAATGCATTCACCCGAAAACACGTGTCAAATACCCGGTTCCCACCACCACCAGCAGAGATCGTAAAAATGCATGCTGTGATTTTGCCGATCTTGCCGGTTTTCTCCCGTTATTTTACTTTACGATTTTGAACGGTCGTAGTGGGAACCCGGCTTAACCCATAAACTGTATGAAGCATTGAATAGTAATCGTGCTTTTACAATCATATATCTTGATGTAGCCAAATACTTTGATCGCATACCACACAAAGGGCTGCTTTTTAAATGTGAACATTTTTTTTGGAGTTACAGGGAAGGCCCTTGAATGGCTAGGATCGTACCTTACGGACAGGAAGCAAAGTGTCGCTGTCGGAAACGAAATTTCAGCGCCGCAGAAAATTACAGCGGGCTGCCCACAAGGGTCCGTGTTGGGGCCTTTGCTTGCCTTAATGTATCTGAACGACATTGAGGCAGTCACCACCAGTCCTACGCTTTTATTTGCGGATGACACCGCAATTTTCCTAGCACACAGACACAGCTCGCAAGAAGCAAAGGTGCAGCTCCAAACAGATCTAGACGCAATTGTACAATTCGGTAGAACGTGGGGGATTACCTTTAACGCGCAAAAGACCGTGCAGCAGACGTTTTCTAATAAATTACCAAGTCAGCCTCCTAAACTGTTATTTGACGGGGAACCTGTCTCAATACAGGAAAGCCATAAGCACCTGGGAGTTATTTTTTCAACAGATTTACGCTTCCATAAGCATATCAATGATGTAATTTGTAAAATTAATAAGTCACTTGGTCCACTCTATGCCGTAGCTGACTATCTTCCGCGAAACACTCTGAACTTGATTTACAAAATTTATTTGCGACCTATATTCGATTATTGCGATGTGGTGTATGACTCGAATATTACTGTGACTGACGCTATGCGACTAGAGCGAGTGCAGCTCAAAATCGCCAGACTTGTGACATGTGCTCATAGAAGGTCGCCGACGAACGACCTGCTGCGCGACGTTGGGTGGGAAACGTTGAAAACAAGACGTACAGTACACAAACTCTCAGAATTCTACAAGATTAACAGCGAACACATCGCCACGCCACAATTTCTCAATCACATCGCACTCTCCACACGCAACCAGGACACACGAAGAGTGTTGCGAAACGCAGACAACATCACAACACATCACTGCCGCCTGTCATCATTCCGGAATTCCTTTTTCCCTGACTCCATATCCAAATGGAATTCGCTCAGTGCTGAGACACAAAATCAGCCTAACCTTAAGTCCTTTGGGAAGGCAGTCACCAAACACTACGGTGTTCAAAAACCTCCTCATTACTATTTTCTTGGTACCAAATTGGGTAATAAGTTAAATACAAGGCTGAGACTAAAAACATCCGAACTCAATGCTCACCTCTTCAGGATTGGACTGACACAGTCTCCTCAGTGCAGATGTGGCTATAAAAATGAGGGGTCAAGGCATTTCATCTTGTTTTGCCAAATATTCGCCACCTCCAGAATTAAACTTATTCAAAACGTAGTCACAGTGTTTCCTGAGTTTATAAATATGACCGATTCTACGAAAGTAGACATACTTTTAACAGGCTCATTTCTAACGGAAAGCCAACAGGCAGCTGTCGCTGCCTCCTTCCAGTCTTTCTTAATAGAAACAGGGCGACTCTAATCAGCGATTGCTCGGTTTTGGCGGGGCGGCATCTCGCGGGCTCCCTGGCGGCGGTCGCTGGAACTGCGCTTTTTGTCGGGTAGGGTCGTGCGGGGCGGCGCTGTTGTCGGCGGTGGCTTGGTTCGGCTGACCGGGAGAGGTGCCTAGACATAGCCCAGACATTTGGGCTGTGCACCAATCCCAGGACGTTCGTCATGCCTATATATGTTGCACATATGTGAAATACAGATGAGATGAGATGAGATGAGCTGCGACCGGCGGGCAGGGGGGGGGGGGGTAGGCGCGAACGGCCGCGACGACCCGGTCACCAGGACACCCCTCGCCGCGTATAAACAGGCCTTTTTGTTAGTGTGCCGGCGCGTCCGGTCGGCGCCGCCCGGCGGTGGTAGACGGGCGGCCACGGGACCGGTGGCGGCGACAGAGCCGTCCCGGCGGCGGCGCCCACACGCGGCTGGTCTCTGTCCTATAGGGCTGCACGTCTGGGGCCAGCGCCGACCGCGGCTGGTGTCTGTCCTATAGGGCTGCACGTCTGGGGCCAGCGCCGACCGCGGCTGGTGTCTGTCCTATAGGGCTGCACGTCTGGGGCCAGCGCCGACCGCGGCTGGTCTCTGTCCTATAGGGCTGCACGTCTGGGGCCAGCGCCGACCGCGGCTGGTCTCTGTCCGAAGGGCCGCACGTCTGGGGCCAGCGCCGACCGCGGCTGGTCTCTGTCCTATAGGGCTGCACGCCTGGGGCCAGCGCCGACCGCGGCTGGACTCTGTCCGAAGGGCTGCACGTCTGGGGCCAGCGCCGACCGCGGCTGGACTCTGTCCTATAGGGCTGCACGTCTGGGGCCAGCGCCGACCGCGGCTGGACTCTGTATAGGGACTGCACGTCTGGAGCCAGCGACGACCGCGGCTGGTGTCTGTCCTATAGGGCTGCACGTCTGGGGCCAGCGCCGACCGCGGCTGGACTCTGTCCTATAGGGCTGCACGTCTGGGGCCAGCGCCGACCGCGGCTGGACTCTGTCCTATAGGGCTGCACGTCTGGGGCCAGCGCCGACCGCGGCGACTGACAGGGCGCAGCCGGCGCGGCGGCGGGACACCTGCAACGTCTGCCCCATGTCGCCGCCGGCCGGCCGGGGATTCGGGAGAGGCGCCGCCGGCCGGCCGGGGATTCGGGAGAGGCGCCGCCGGCCGGCCGGGGATTCGGGAGAGGCGCCGCCGGCAGAGCGGCCACCTGTGCTCGGACGTTCAGCAGCGAGCAAAACAAACTTGTGGCCCCATCACACGGCCATCGCTCCACGCCTGCTTGATAGGTACTGAAACACTGCGCGCTCGATAACTGCTGAAGCGAACGCGCATCGCACGAAGGTAGCGGACCTTGTGCTGTTCCGTTTAATTAACCCTCGCCCGACGAGGGGGGGGGGGGTTGATGCAACCCCCCCCAAGGTTTTTCGCAAATAACGTAAAAACGGGGGCGCGTAGCGGCGCCAAATTTTGCATACCCTCTGGGGTAACATTTTCGCACCTTTCCTGAAAATTTGAAGTCCCAGTCTTTTCAGGTCAGGTCACCAGGTCACAAAAACCGGTACAAGGTCAGGGGAAAATTGGACTGGCTTAGCGGCAACTGAATTCCAGAGTTCACTAAAATTGGCAACAAAGTACATATATCATTCGATGCGCACGGACGTCCTGAGTTCACTGGTGCTTTTATTTTTGTTCTATCTTTTCTAGGTAAAAAGTTATACCTAAGCGAAAAACTTTTAACATGTTTTAGCAAAATTTTGCACTCATACCCCCAAAACCCCCCTAAATATTGACTTAGAGCCACCAAACTTTCACAGGGGCGAGATCTCCTATGGACCCACCTACCCTGTAAATTTGGCGTTTCTAAGTGCCATAGGAGCCAATCGCGAGGGGGGGGGAGGTCGTACCAACCCCCCCCCCTCGCCGTCCGTGTTATGGAAAAGGCCCTCGCCTGGCGAGGGTTAACACCTTTCACCCTTTTTCTCCCCGCTAGAGGCATCGGCGTTGATTTGTGCCGGCCGCTGGCTCTGCGCTGCTGTATGCCACCCGAAGAGGGGCATCCCGGTCCGCCCACCTGTGGTGTGTTTATCCCCGGCCCACCCCCGCTCCGGACCGCAGCCCACCCCGGCTCCACCCCGGCCCACCACGGCCCACCACGGCCCACCCCGGCTCTGGGCCGCGGCCCACCCCGGCTCCGGACCGCGGCCCACCCCGGCTCCGGACCCGCAGTCGGTGCGGACTGACCGGCAAAAACGCCGCTCTGCGGGATCTGTTCAGTGTTGGTGTGGCAAGCCGAGACAGAGCAGCCGCTGTCAGTCGACAGCCGCCGAGCGACCTTCGCTGCGGGCTCACCAAACACGGCACCGGCCCAGCGCTACCCGGCCAGCGACCTTCGCTGCGGGCTCACCAAACACGCACCGGCCCAACTCTGCCCGGCCAGCGACGTATAGCTATAAGCCTATAAGGGAACTTTGTATATGCCCACATAGGTACGGTGATGATCGAGTGGTCCGAATCTTTTTGTCAAAAAGTAATGAATAGTTTTTTTTTAAGTCTACACTCCATACGCACTGACATGAAAAGAAAATTATGATTTAATTGATTTAAATTGGAATATGAGATGGGTATTTTGGTGTTAAAAATGGTCCTATAAATTGCTAGCTGCATCAAATGACGTCACTGACATCCCACCCCAGCGTCCGATGCCGTCCGGTGACGGCTGGTGGTGTGGTAGTTACCGAGTTTGTTGATGTTGGGCGTGTACGGCGACGAGACCACGGTGCTGGCCGCGCTGCGGGACGGGTCGGCGGGCCCGACGGCGTCCGCGCTGCCCGACTCGCGGCGCCCTGCGGCAGGCCGAGGGACGCGCGGTCAACTCACGGCGAGGGACGCGCGGTCAACTCACGGCGAGGGACGCGCGGTCAACTCACGGCGAGGGGGGACGGTTAACTCACGGCGAGGGGGGACGGTCAGCTCACTGCGGCAGGCCGAGGGACGCGCGGTCAACTCACGGCGAGGGGGGGACGGTCAGCTCACTGAGTGAGGGACGGTTAGCTCACTGAGTGAGGGACGGTCAGCTCACAGAGTGAGGGTGAGGGACAGTCAGCTCACAGACTGAGAGGAGGGACGGTCAGCTCACTGAGTGAGGGACGGTCAGCTCTCTCAGTGAGGGGAGGACGCGCGGTCAACTCACGGCGAGGGGAGGGAGGGACGGTCAGCTCACAGTCACAGGGAGTGGGAAGGACAGCCCACAGCGAAATGGAGGACCACGGTGTACTGTGAAGTGAGTGAACTCACGATGTGGACTCGCAGTCAGAGAAAACAGTGTGCGCGTCGGGCGTTTCTTGCGTAAGACCTGAAAACGCTTCCGATGCCGGCGTGGAATAAAGACAGCTCTTATCTTCTGCTCAGAGCGGCTCAAACGAAGATCGAATCGGAGGAGTCAGCACGACGTCACACACCATGCTTTGATGAAATCTAAAGGTAAGGTCATGCAGAGTTGCGACAAAGAAACCTTGGCACATTTCTATAGTAGGATTGTCGGATGTCGCAGCGCTACGGGCGCCCATATTCACCGGTCGGTTCCACCTTCCAGGACGAGCGTACGTACCTCCCACATATCAGGGACGCCATCCCGTGACATCGGCGACATCAGTGGGGTCAACATTGCCACCGGCGCCGCCACTGATGGGAGGTCGCCGGCCCCATCACTGGCGGGGGGGGGGGGGGTCAACGGCGCGGCGCCACCACTGATGGGAGGTCGCCGGCCCCATCCAGTAGCGGCGGAACGCCTTCAATTAAGGGGAAGGGGGGGGGGGGCACTGCCGAATTTTGGTCCCATTCTTTCCAAGCAACGCCCATAGGGCTAATGTTAAAATGCCAAAATCAGAGGGGGCACGGTGCCCCGGTGCCCTCCCCGTTCCGCCGCCTATGGCCCCATCTCCGGAGGATTACACTGGAGCGGCAGGCGACTGCGATCGGGCGGGACCGGGGAAATAATAAATTCACTTTACCAAATATCCCTCATTTTCACTATATACATTCAAACTTTAACCAATGCATGAATTATTATGAAGATGAGTGAAAATTTATGTAGGCATGTACATCTGCTTTTCTATCTATGTAGGTACATGTAGGTATATGCTTTTGCAATTAAGTATACCATTAAACTGGCGAAAATTCCAAAAGCTGCGATCAGAAGGCTGTCGATGAACGCGCGGTACCACTTGCAGGCTGCAGCGTCCCCGAGTACCGCGCGGTACTGCCGTCCCAGAGTACCGCGCGGTATCAGCGTGCCGCCGGGTCGCACGGCGCTCTACCCTACTCTACTCTACACACGGCGGTGTGTCGCGACTGCAGCCACTGACCTGTCCGCTGAGCGGCTGACTGCAGCAGTCGGCCCGCGGCACTGTCTGTCACTCACTCTGACTGGGCTCTGCGGCCGGAGGCGCCCGGCGCCCGGCCGGCCGGTCCTCTGTCGTCGCCGCCGGCCGGGCGCCGCTGGGAGCCGCCCAGGTGACGCGCGCGGCACGTGGTCGGCTCTCACCGCGGACGACAGGCCAATTACAGCTGACATATAGGCAGCCGCCGGCGCGGCGCGGCGCCTCCGTCACGCAGCCGACCGGTCGCACGCCGGCGGGCGGCGACCGGTCCGCGGCGCGGCACCAGAGGACCTGCAGTCGGGCGACCAACTCTCGGCAAAGCTGCGCGGCTGTCACCGCCGCCGGCACCGGTCTGCGGCTGACGGGCCGCCGCGGCGGGCAGGGGGGCCACCCCGGAAACTGGCCGCCGCGGCGGGCAGGGGGTCCACCCCCGGAAACTGGCCGCCGCGCCGGTGAGTGGCAGCGTCGCGTCGGTGGACGGTAGCGGCCACGCGCCGCGCTGACTGCCGCAGCCGCGGCGGAGCCCCGCGCTGACAGTGGGACAGGGAGAGCGGCTCAGGCCGAGCCCGGCGCCGAGTGAGCTGGGTATGCACACTGCAGCACACGGTACAGCACACTGCAGCACCAGTTCAGCACACTGCAGCACACGGTGCAGCCACCCAGACCCAGACAAAGCGTGTTACAAAGTGGCCAACAGTTCTGGTCAGCCTTGTGCACTATGCAGTGCTTTTAAATCAAATTATTGTCTTTTCCGGCTTTTTTTAGTATCACTTATTTCCAGCTATCCTTTTTATGAGGCTTTCCCATCCTCGCTGTCCCCTTTCCCCGCCACCGTTTCCTCTCTCTGCAGTGCATATGCCACCGTCACGACCGCCTTGTGTGATTTCTGTTCGTACATACCAGCGAGATAATAACCCAGCGAGATAATAACCCAGCGAGATAACCCAGGGAGATAACCCAGCGAGATAACCCAGCGCGATCCTGCAGCGGGACGAGCCGAGGACGGCCGGCTGCACCTGTCACCGGACTCCCGGGGCCGGAGACCCTCGGCGGACCACGGCCCCGGGACCGGGGACCCTCAGCTGACCAAAGCCCCGGGACCGCGGACCCTCGGCGGACCACAGCCCCGGGACCGGGGAGCCTGAGCGGACCACGGCCCCGGGACCGGGGACCCTTTACCGCACCACGGCCCCGGGACCGGGGAGCCTGAGCGGACCACAGCACAGCGCCAGATGTCTGCAGACTTTGAGTACACCCAGCGCACTGACTGCCCACCGCCAGCGGCACCGACTGACGGCTATGTTTACAGTTTGCAAACGGACACACAGGCGTTGAGGTGCAATGGCTTACACGGGTTCCATTTTCAGGCTCCGTTGTATAAAGTGTCAATATCCACAGCAGCGGCGGAACACCTTCAATTAAGGGGGGGGGGGCACTACCGACTTTTGGTCCCTTTCTTTCCATGCAACGCCCATAGGGCTAATACTAAAATGCCAAAATCAAGAGGAGGCACGGTGCCCCGGTGCCCCCCCCCCCCCCCCGGTCCGCCGCATATGAATATCCATCGCTAATAACGTCGCCTTCTCATGCGCTGCCGCGCCTGCGAAGTATCATACATTGGTCAAGGCTCAAGCACGTCCTACAAAGCAAATAGAAGCCTACCTACGCGTCCCGAAATGGCGTGGGAGCGGTGACATCAGACCGGCTGAAGAGATAGGCACGTCAGGCCGCATCTGGTCCGGTTCCGAGCTGCCCACATTGTGCCCACACTCCCTGGGCCGGGACCAGTCAGGTGCGTCTATCGACAGGAAACATGACTGGCAGAATGAGCTCTATCAACTGTGAGGGGGAGCCCGGGCAGGCATACCTATGGTACGGCACAGAACGTCTTTCGGCTCGAAGAACGGGGCCAATGAATTATCGTAAATGAAGTTTGACGTCCAAATGAATCCAGCTCAGAAAACTGCAGAGGCAGGACTAACACTTTATTGAAGGGTGCGGCTATCCGGGTCAGCTCGTCCCACCTAACCTAACCGTCCCACCTAACATAAGGCTGTGTGGAAGTGTTTCATGATGTGTAATACAATACAGCCATGTAGTTTGTGAATTCGTCCATAGATGGCGGCAGTGACGGCTGCCTGACGCTATACTGTGCCGCATCACATATACTGGCAAAAGACGTCAGTGCTGGAAGTGCTGGATATAAGACAGCAAATCACAAATCGTCTCGTGGAATGCATCTGCAAGTTTAAGTCAGAATTAGACTGTTCACGTCTGCATAAAAACCGGGCATCACATAAATGACCCATTTCACTTCAATGATTCGGCGATAACTTCACAGATCGGCTGCAAATCGTTCTGTTTCTTACCATGCCAGGACACCGGCAGACCAGTGTCCGTTTCCACGTCACCTCAGCTTTGATTCCCCTCCTATCCATGAACCTTTCATGAATGGCACGTTTCTCTCTGTTTTTCTGCGGCGGGCCCGTGTATTTTATCTCTTTCCCACCGTGGCTAGGTAGCGTTTTCCTCCTTCCCTGTCACAGCCCGGCTGTAATTTTCCCTGTTGTGCTGTAGTCCTCAGCGGCATTTTCTGAGGTTCCGCCGACCGAGGGCAGAGCGCGGGAGGCCGGCCTGCCTCCCCGCTCTGTATTTGCGCAGGCCGACAATTCGCACGCCTTCATTCAGGCTTCCAGCCGCCGGGGCCGGGGCCGTCAGACAGCGCCGCCGCGCCGGGGCCGGGGCCGTCAGGCAGCGCCTCCCGGGCTCTCGGCACCAGTGCACCAGCCGCCGGGCTCTCGGCACCAGTGCATCAGCCGCCGGGGCTCTCGGCACCAGTGCATCAGCTTGCACATCTTGGCCCGCCGCTGCAAGTGCAGACGCATAACAGTGTCTCCGTGCTTAAACATAGCATGTTTCTATAGCTCTAGTAGCATGTTTCTATCTTAAGTTCTTGTCAAAAACTATCGGAGACGTTTCATGACCTGAGCATGCCTCACGGGCACCGGGTGCAATTGTCCGATTCAGTGTGTCCTGTTTAGGTATCTGCATCCCTATGTTTGAGTGTTTTCGTCCGTAAGAGGAGCATTTCAATTTTCTCCCATCTGACGTATAATAGGCAATAGAGCTCGCAAAATTGACCTGACCTTAGGTCACCGATATAAAAAATCAGAGATATGCAACTTGTTGGTATTGATTCCCTCGTGCAATAGCCCAGGTTTCAAACTTCTAGGATATAAAATGTAGGAATAACAGAATCGCAAAGCGTTTTAGAGACATGGTCATTGGTAACCTGACCTGGTCACCTGATCTCACGTGACCTTGAGGCAACAATTTCAAACACGATGCAAAATTGATGCATCATAAGCTACCCCGAATTTCGCGACACTACGCGCCTTGGTTTCGTTTATATATGCAAAAAATGTGGAAGGTGTGGCAAGTACCTAACGACCCCCCTTCCCAAT